AAGATGAAGTGTTTTGCGTGCTATGAAGCAAAATTCAAACTCTCTGTCCAATCACAACGCGCCACACAAAAGTAGGTTCATGACTTGGTCGACCTAATTCCTAACCTGAAATTTCAAGTCATGAGCTCAACTTATCAAGCATTTCATTGTTAGCTCAAGCCTTACTTTGACTTAGTTATTTTTGCATTGGATTTTACTCCATGATAAGATCACTTGGCCTGAAGAAAATCTCAAACTGTACTAGTGGATTCTATTTGGCCTCAGCTTAAACATGGTGACTTGACTCTGCATTTTGGTGTATGACCCGCAATTAGAAATGACTTAAAATTTAGTTAGGACCACCCAAACCATGTGCAAACTTGTTCCACACTATAAAACGTGTCTCACACAACACAAAATGACATGCTTTGGTGTCAAAGTCATGCATTTCATCACTCAATTTCACACGGATTACATCTAGAATTTTCTCAACTTGGTTCACACGTTTGAGATCTCATTTGGCACGTACCATGACCCCACTTCCTTTCCTATAAATAGAGCATCATTTTCCTTCATTTGCAAGCTTTGAAAGCCATAAAAACCTGTCATTTTCACTCTGAACAAGCTCAAAAACCAGAAAACCTAACCTCGTTTTTAGCTTGATTTAACTCCAACTCTCTACCTAGAATCCTTCATCGGCATCATCTAAAGTTAATTGAAGAATTACAGAAGTTCAACACCTTCTTCAACCTTCAACCCGATATCACCATTTTAAGACTTTTGGAGCTTCTTTGAATAAGTATATATAAGTAAAATCTTAGCCTAAACAAGTTACCACTCTCTTCATCTTGATATTCGGATGTTAAGCCCTCACTTACCTTTGATTTATCTTGCGCATTAGTAATTTAATTTTACTTTGAAGTAGCTAAGTTTTTTACGTTTTCTGTATAATTCTCTCTGCTTAGAGCCAATCAATGGCTCTAATGCAAAGAGACGAGAACAATGATACGAGTAGAATCTTGCTCGCATAGTGTTTGAGCTCAAAACTCCAAGTACTTGAATTTGTAAAATCATAGTTCAAAGGTTGAAGATGAAGTATTTTACGTGCTATGAAGCCAAATTTAAACTCTTTGTCCAATCACAACGCGCCACACATGCTAGCCATTATTATTTTAATTTAGTTTTCAATTTTAATCCTTTTAATTTCATTTTCTTTAAAAATTATTTTAAATAACACCTTTATGATTTTTAACTCCAATTTTTTCATAAAACATAAAAAATATTTCTACCACATATGTTTTTTCAAAATTTTAAAATGATTTTAGCATTTTTTGCTATTTTCTTTTTAATTATTTTTACACAGTTAATTCTCCATCATTTTTAAATATTTTTAATCCAACTTTTGAGATCTTGATCCTTGGAGTTTTTCTAACTTTTTCAAAATTTTGTGGCTTTTTATTTGATGTTTTGATGCATCTTTGAGATTTTCTCTTTATTTTTCATTTTTGACCTTTTAAAAATCATTTTAACTCAATTTTAAATATTATTTTTTAGTGTTTTGATGATTAATGATTTTGGCTTTTGTTTGACTTTGTCAATTTTGATTTATTGAAGTTTCATCTTATTCAATTGGACTTTAGATTGATGCTTGATGAACTTTCTTCATTTAAAACATATCATTAAATGATCTTTTGATCATTTTTTATACTTTGGATTGATGATAAGTTTGTCTCAAGGTATCATGAAGAAGATTGATTGAAGTAATGATTTAATCCTCTTGCCTTAGTGCTTGACCAATTCTTCGTCGCTCTCTTCTTCTTCTTGATTTTGTTTTGACTTGTGTTACATGTTTTAAGAGAATGACTTTGTGTCATTTCTCTAACATGTATGACCCATAAATTGTTATTGTGTGACCTCGGATAGTTGTGACTTCTACATAAGTCCAATTACGATTTATTAACATAGCGTTAAATTATACTGAATCAGTTGATTAACTTCTCACACTAACATTAACTTCATTAATTGTGCTAACTTTACTTTTCCGCACTTTTACCTTAATTCAATTTACTTTATGTCATTTATGTTTCTTCTCATTATGTCATTTTTATTTTTGACTTTATCTTTTGCTCTTATTTTGTTTTCTTGCCTCACAAGGCTAAAAACATTTATAAATACAAAAATCCTTAAAAAATTGATCTTGATCTTTGGACTTGATGACACTTTCCTATGCTTGGAGTTTGGACTATTGGACTTAGATCTAGGGTTCTCTTCCTATACTTTAGATGTTTGTATCAGAGATCTTGGAATTCATCTGCGTCGTTTATCAAACAACTCTAAAAAATACAAACATCATCAAATCAATTTTCTGCTCTTGCACTTCTTTTTCTTTTCAAATTTTTAGAAAGATTAGAAATAAGACATCTTCTTGTAGTGATGTAAGTCTTGTGTTCCCATAGTATGATTGCGAGTTTGATTCATATTTTCCACTTGAATGTTGAGACATGCTTGTTGATTATATCCAAGTTAAAGTTCTCCATCAAGATGATGCAAATGTTCATTTTTTTCATACTGTGAGTGATAAGTTGAGCTTTCCACTCAAAAATAACTAAATGTTTTTCATTAAAATCAATCAAACAAATACAATTTTTGTTCTTTTTACAAGAACTACGAGGTTCTGACTTCTTCATTGCACATGGAGGATACGTAGGCACGAGACTCTCGAAGTCTTGGCGGCAAACCAAAAATAATAAAAATATAATTCTTTTCTCATCTCTCTAATTTTTTTGCAAATAACTGTTTTAGCCTAACACAGATTTTTAAGAGGTTCTTACAGAGTATCGGAGATGTGAGGAGTGTTAATATCTCCCCCTTGCATAACCAACACACGTACCTAAATCTTTCTTTTTTAGATTTTATCGATACTTTCTCATTCTTTTGTAAACAATAAAATTCGGTGACAACTATTACTTATTATTTTTGCGAGTTAAATTAATCAATAACTTAATCTCAATTTTCCACTGTGACACTACTCATTTATGTTGACCGACATAACCTCCAACTCAGTCTTGATTGGTTTGAAACCATCAAGGTTTGGATTTATATTTTAGGTCAATGAAGGTATATGTTGTTTGATTAGCTAATAAAAGTAAGTAATCATCTCATGATGGTTGTGTCGAATATTGAACAACAAGCCGCTGAATTTGTGTTACTGAAGCAAAAGGATTGTCCTTTAGCATAAACCATATTGGTCACATGTATAGTATTGCCATAAAAGTGAAAGTTGAGACACACCCATTTAGCATGGCATTGCATGTGGTCTTCTAGCCAATCTAAAATGAAAGTTAACACGATTAAATGCACCACTCACCACTGATTACATCAAGTTTAATCATGTTTAAAAATACTAAGCTAAGAACTCCAAAGTAATTTAAGAACAATAATCTGTTGTTTATAAGCATTTGATTTTAGTTCTTTCATTTTAATGGCCAAATTACATTAATGTTGACAAGAATAAGACTTGTTGGTCATAATTTTAAACTAGTGTAATAATTCCTTTGTCAAAAATATTTCTCTCGTACATCATTTCATTTTTTCATAAAATAATAATTATATTTCTTAATTCATGTGAAATAATCAAAATGTCTTTTAATTTAAAACAGAGCGGATAATTTTAAGGGCATGATGGAGGTGATGTCGAGGGGGTTGAAAGAAGTGTACTACTAGTAAATTGTGAGGGAAGGGACAATAAATTTGTGTTCAATATTTTAGGTAACTATCATAGGACATGGTTGGTTTTAATGGGGGAGGGTGTCGAAAGCATTTAAAGTTTTATGGGGTGTTTAATAGCATAGGTCATCCAAGGTCGTGGTTTGTTTTAATGGCTGAAGAGGGTGTTGAGAGCTTTAAAGATATGAATATTATGAGCGATCCAATTGTGGAAGTTGGAGTTATTGTAAGCATTAAAGAAGAACCATTGGCATTTAAAATTTCTTCTTCATCTGTTTACACACCAACAATATTAATGACTATGTCATCCCTCTTCATTTCTCACCGCCTTTCATAACTGCTAAATTTAGCTTGCTACAACACACTCTCTCCTCACTAGTAAGAGGTAACCGTGACCTCAATGTAATTTAGATCGGTTTCGAGATCATTACATTTAACTTTAAGATATTAAATATATAAATCATTTTGTTTGATAAATTAATTCAAATTGTACTACAACATACGAACAACTTAATTAGTTTTTGTATTATACAAAAATAAGAAGTTAAATGTGATTAATTATTTCTAATAGTTTATGGTTTCGTCTTCAAAGAGTACCTCTTCTTAACTTAAATAAAAGCCAAAATATGACATTGTTTATTCGACTCAAAAACAATCAAATTTAAAGGTCCTCCACCATAGTTAATGTTATCATTCCGAAAATATCAAATCAATTAATGTTGTCATCAAACAATTTTCTCTAGAAATATGAACTTTTTGTTAGAAACATACAATTATATTTTTATTACATAAATTTTTTTAAATAAAATTAAATAGTAGTAGTATTAACTAGTCTGCATTTGGTTATCAGCTTTAAATTTTTAACTATGTTGATTATGTCTTTACAAAAACACATCAATTATCTTAGCTTTTTTATAGGAAACATTTAAATACTATGATATAATGGATAAATAAATTTGAGTATAATTACAATGTAATGTCATATCATTTCAAAAATATGGATGAATTTATCACCTTTTAATTTTTAATGTTTATTAAAAAAAATCATATCTAAGATTTACTGGCTCGTAGGTCAGTAATTAATTAATCCAGAACCAACATGAGAAAGCACTTATACGTAAGCAAAAGCCTTTTATTGAGACTTTCAACTTTTGCTCACATTAAATTCTCTTTTGCAGTTAGTTATACACAATACTAAGGGATAGATAGACACATTAAATCCTATATAAACACCCAAGTCTTGTGCTACATTTGATCACACCAACAGATAGATACAAATCACCATTTGAAAAACCATGGTATCCTTATTCAAAGCGCTCTCCATGACTCCGAGAACCGAAGTTAACGAAGATTTCGAAGCGTCGACGAAGAAAAGAAAGTGGGAGGACCCGTTTACTGAAGAGTTTTTCATTGATAAGAAATCATCCACCTTTGATATTAAGCCTCGCCTCAAAACCATGTTTCCGTCGGATAAATGGCGTCAATACTTAAGTATTCAGGTATATAATAGTGTTGTATATGTTACAGTTATATTGTAAAAAAATATGATGGCATGTCTTATGATTTTTTTTATGTGCAGTCCGGGCAGATACAGTTGTGTAACACAAAACTGGACGAGACTGCGACGGAGGACTCGAGACGAGGCCTTCGGACGCTTTCTTCTGATCAGATGAGTTTAGACCTTGAGCTAAACCTGACATGTGAATCACAAAGGAAAAAAGAAAGCAAGAGTGGTTGTGATGAGATAAGTGAGAAGTGTAAGACGAAACATGATGGTGATGTTTGTGCTGAATCAAACAAGTGTAAGAAAGATTCGTCGGGTGGTTTAAACGGTTCGCCTTCGTGGCTGTCGACGAGCGAGGGAGATTACAAAGAGATGGTTGCAACAGTTTGTATGCAGTGCCATATGTTGGTAATGCTATGCAAGTCTTCACCTGCTTGCCCTAACTGCAAATTCATGCACTCACCAGATCAGAATCCTTCAAAGTTTTTGAAGAGCAGGTGCAGCTTCTTCTGTTCTAGTTAGAAACGTGCAGAATGCAGATACTACTCATCTAGAAATTTTCAGCTTTGTATACAGCATGGCATGGACCAATCCTATGTTATCTATGTTGTTCATTTCACTTATATATATATCTATATATCTAGCCTAGTATATAATCATATCATCATGTTATGTACATATATTGGACTCGATCATCTATATTTATCCGTGTTGACAGAGCGAAACTTTCATATGTTCAACAACAACCACTTAAGCCATCTGAGACTAAGTGGGATGGGCTACATTGATCATCATAAAATTCTATCTCATTATGTCTTTCAAAAGCAAAATAATTCAAGAGGTAATAACAACTGAATACATCAATTCAAACGCCCTACGGAGTCTAAAGGACATGAAATTTTTACAATAAGGCAAATGGTAGGTTTGTACAGTTAGAAGTTAGTACTATTATTAAGTTCTAGAGATAGAAGTAGTGGTTCCTAGTGCTCTGATTTATGAAACATTCACATTAATATTTCGAAAAATTCTATATAAAAAAAAATTGTCAAATGTAAAACATTGTTAGTTACTTCCAACTACCCAACCCTTGACAACTTTCCTAACTCTATTAATGGTTTTGCTTAAATCTATATATCTCTAGTACATTTAAGTACATTTGCATCCAACATTGAATGTTTATTGAATGTGTAGCCTCACTCTCATTTACTTTCTTTGCTCCATAAATGCTAAGGAAAGAGAGATACACAATCCATAACCCTTACTTTATTATCCACTTGAGAAAACCATATATAATACTGCTGGAACTACCATGTCAGCTGCATTTATGAAATGTTTCATCTCATGAGTCGATTTTTGAAGAGAAGAGTTAAGATTTTGCTATAAGTAGACTCTCCTTTGGCTTTGGCCTAAGGTAATTCGTGGCAAGTTTGGCCGGGAAGCCTGAAGCCAAAGCAATCATTACATGTACTTGGAAAGGTGTAAATTATGTCACATCTCTTGTATTGTGATGCCATTCGTCTTAATGTGTTTGATGATGTAGAGTTTCATGTTTAGGAATGGTTTGAGTAAATGTGCTTAGTTTGTTCAATTTGGTTTCTGTTTTCAAAGATTTGTAAAAAAAATCAGAAAAATATATAAAGATGCCAACAAAGCCAATGTACCAAATGATGAAAATCATATAACATAAAACATGACATAATTTATCAAACATAAATAAAAAATTTTGTATACACGTTACTATATAATAAAGTTTATATAGAAATAGAAGGTAGCTGGACAACAAACTGTACTGTTAGTTAATTAAATCTATCAAAATTGAGTAAACATTTTGGACCCGCAATTATTAAATATCATAACTTTATGTACCAATAAATCATTAAAGATACTCAAGATAGTTGGTAAACAAACACAGTTAAGAAATGATAATTCATTGATTTAGCAAATCATCATGTTTTTTTTACAGTAGTACAATCAAGGATCACGCAAAAAGGACGAAACGATGATCGATCAGTGTACTGAAACAAACTCCTTATATTAATTGATAGGTCCCAAACTTAATTCCATTTTCTGACACTTGAAAATGAAAATGAGATACACATACGGATATATATATATATATATATATATATATATATATATATATATATATATATATATATATATATATATATATATATATATATATATATATATATATATATATATATATATATATATATATATGCAATCAAGGACATGGGGAAAATACATATACAAATTTGATGAATTAGGCATTAAGTTTCTCTTTGAATTCAAAGTTTTGATTGTGCATTGAGACAGTAAGAAATGCTAAATTATGATTTCAACTGTCGCAAATAATAAATTAATGTATCTATGTTAATTTTACGAATTACAAAAGAATGGTCCTATATGTTATCTTTGTCATGGAGGCAGGCCCGACCCTGAGGCAGGGTAAAGTGGGCCACTACCCAGGGTTCAGGAGCCTAAAAAAAATTTATTCATATTTTTATTGGTATTTGTTTCAAAAAATATTAGAAGGAAGGTTTTTTTAAAGTAGTTAGAAGGTATTTTGATAATATTAATTAGAATATGATCTCTTTTTTATGTTAGTTACACTTATAAATAATTATATTTGATATTGTTGATCTTATTTACAATTTAAATAAATATATATTTTAAAAAAAAAATTATATTTGTTTATTAGAGGTCCATTTTTATTATTCGCGTCGAGTCTCTAAAAAGTCGAGACATGCCCTGCATGGAGGGAGTAAGAAAATGAATGAAACATTGGATTGTGTTCGGGTCTCTGACCTGTGACAACGACATTAGAGTGATGAAGGAAAAAAAAAAGGTATTGCTTGATATAATAGTAGCGCAAGTGCAAAGTTAATTAGGATAAGGGTTTGTTATTTAGTATATAAGTTAGTTAGTTGTATATAAATAGGATATCATGTAATTCAGTTTTATCATTCATTAATATTAATCTTTATTTTCTTATTCTCTCTCTTTCTATCCTCACAAAAGTGTCACAAGCACTAACAAATTGGTATCTAGAGCTCCGTTTAGATTCTTGATCGTATTTTCAAGAATCACATGTCAGTGATCGTGCTTCTTGATCGTATTTTCAAGAATCACATGTCAGTGATCGTGCTTCTGAGATCGTGGGTTGTTCATCGCTTTTGCTGCAAAGATGAATGGAACAATGGTATTCAAAATTCTATTCCAACTCTTGACGAAAAGAATTGGATCTGATGGAGAAAACAAATGCAATCTTTATTTGACTTGCATGAAATCCTAGAAGTGGTTACTAATGGCGTCCCTGAGCTTTCTGAGAATGCAAATGATGCTCAGAGAGTCACGCATAAGGAGGCCAAGAAGAAAATATTATAAGGTTGCATACTACTGTATTCAATCGGCAGTAGATTCAGTGAATTTCGATAGGATCTCTCATGATGAATCGACGAAGAATGCATGAGATGTTCTTGTGAAGTACTATGAAGGAGGTGAGAAATTTAAAGTCGTCAAATTGCAGACTTTGTGACTGCAATATGAATTATTGTAGATTAGAAAAGATGGAAAGATTGCAGGCTATGTGTCGAAGGTACAAAATTATGTTCATCTCATGAAGGATTGTGGTGAAACCCTAACTGATAAGATGATAGTTGAGAAGGTTATGTGTATGCTGATCTCTCACTTTAATCATGTTATCGTAACTATTCAAGAATCCAACACTCTTGAAACCCTAAAACAAGAAGAGTTAGTTGATTTGTTGGAGGCGCAAGAAATTAGGATAATCGAAATGAAAGGGGTTCAAGAGTTTATACAAGCACTGCATGCTCAATCATGGAAGAAGCATGGTGGTTCCAACAAGTTCAAAGGCAAATGAGACATGACTCTGAGCAAGAAGTCTTGGTCGAACCCTCAAAATCATAAAATTGATGGTAGGGCTTCTGAATCCTCGAAAAGAGGAGAATGAAACTCCTCTCAGAAAGACAAAGAACAGAGAAAAAAAAGTGTCTAGTGCTATAACTGTGAAAAGTGGGGTCTCTTGGCTAAGAATTATTGGTACAGGAAAGACAAAGGAGCGATAAAAGGCAAGGACGAAGGAGCAAACCTTGCACGTCAAAATTCAGATGATCCTGATGATTTGGTGCTCATGTCTGCAGTTACAAATGAGCATCTCGACTTCAAGATCTTGTTTCTCGACTCAGACTGCTCAAATCACATGAGTGATCAAAAAGTGTGGTTAACATATTTTGACAAGTTGAAGAAGAGCAAGTTTAAACTTGTAGATAATAGTTGATTGCGAGCAGAAAACACTGGCAACATAGTGTCATACTCCAAATTTTACCGCCTTTTATTTTTACGATCAAAAATATTTTTAACATTGGTTTTATAATATTCTTTGATTTTTATAAAATATTCGTTTCCAAATATATTTAAAAATACAATAATTTATTTCAAATTATTTGTATTTTAAAATAGCAAATAATTGCTCGTCTTCATATACTTTCAATTGGCTTTTTATTTCAAATAAATAACATAGAACAATTGGTAAGGAAGCATAACTTGAAAGCATAAGGTCATAGGTTTGAATCTCACTTGGTGCATTTTTTATATTTATTTGTTTATTGTTACTAATTTTATTTCCATTTATAAAAATCATAAAAAAAATCATTTTTTATTATTTAAATATTATTTTCATATTTTTAATTATGGCATTTTTTAAAAATTAATTATTTATTTGATTTTATGCACTTTTTATCAAAATTGAGTGCAAAATTCATAATAAATACCAAAAATATTTTTTTTTCAGATAACTGTTTCTTATTGGTTAATCTACGCCAATTTGTGTCATACTCAGCTTCTGATTGGCCAACTTGCTCACCAAGAAAGATCTGATTTATTGTATTCCCTTTTCGCCCTTTAACTTGATTTCGATAGTCTATAAATAGGTCCTTATTTTCATAGTTTTAGACATCAAGAATTCTATCCACAATTTTTACATTCTTCGCTAACACTTTGTCTATCAATAATCCACAGGTCTGTAATTTTTCACTCACTTTTTTTCACATACACTTCATTTTTTTTCAATTTATTTTTAAAATTTCTCTTTAAAACTCTTGGTTTTATTTGTGATTTTATTCTTGGACGATGATTTCATATGAGGCCACTCACCCTTTTGTTTCAATTTTATCTTTTCTTCTTTTTAATTTTAATTTGTCTATTAACAAAACCGTATGATGATTATCTGACGGTTATTTGCTTTTCTTGAAATTGTGTTTTCTTATTAATATTTTTTTCCGGAGACCATTCACATTGTAAGTGTTCCATGAGGTCATCCATACTAAACAAATCCTTCACTTTCACGTACAAGAGAAATCCATAATTTCATAATCTCAATCTTACTCTTACTTTTGGTTTATTCCAGGGTTTCTGAACAGAAACTCTGTGAAACAGATCCAAAAAAAAAACATTTACAATACCTTGTTTCTTTCATTCACATATAGTAGAGGCCAATT